GAGCCACGCTCCCCTGCATCGGGGTACCATGGGAAGTTTCCATGCTCCCCTCTTTCCCATCCCAGTGCCCTCGTGAGGCAAAGCGAACGTCTGTGGGGAAGCACTGGGTGCTACGGGAGGTTTGCGTCCCTCTCGTTCTCTCCTCATACATACAGACACAGAGACAGGTACATATGAACCACTGTGTCTATATACCAAAGGAGAAATCAAAGTCTACAAAAAGTAAAAAGACAAAAAAAACTCTGGAAAAAAAAGATAGAATACCTTTTAGAGTCATGTCTTCCATGTTTATATTTGTGATATAGGGGGTGAAGGTTTGGGTCACACACCGGGCAGTCGTGTCAGACCTGCATTTTTTGCAATGTGAGGTACTATTGATAAGCCAGTTAAAAGCACATCATTGTCAATAATGTGACCCTGTAACTAACAGTATTTTTGTTTTCCTTTCCTTTTAGTTTGTGCCATCGCAGTGTCAGCAACAATCAGAAGAAAATGCGAACATTTGTCTCAATAGCCCAGAATGCCTGGGGAATTTTTATATCCGAAAGGAAGCCTGGCTGGAAGTATCTGATGCAGCTTTTTGCAGTTTGCTCTGTAGTTGGCTTCCTCTCAAGCTTTCTCTTATTCCTTGGCATGCACTTCTCCCTGGCACACTACCCTTTGGGTCCCTTATTGATTTCTGGATTCATCTGGATCTCGCTTTCTATCGCGCTCTCCTGTTTCAAGCACCTGCGCTGTTTTAGTGTCCTGTTCCTTCTTTCTTGTGGACTGCAAAATGGCAGGGATGCTCTTATTACTGCTGGCACAGGCATCGTGGTGGCCGGCAACATCCAAAATATTTTTCACAACCTAAAGGTTCTGGCAGACAGTATAACCTGTCATTTGGAGTATGAGCAATTTGCCTTGATAAAATATTATGTTGAGGCAGTAAAATGGATTTACGAGGCGGCCAAGCTTTCCTCTGAACTATCTAAATACATAGTGTTCCTAAGGCATGAATTCACACCATCTTATTCAATTTCAGATGATGCATTAAAAAAAGAGCTAAATGACACAAAGCAAGAAATCCAGGCAGTTGCTAACCAGATATCTTTTATGCTGACTATACTGCCCTGTATAGGTCAGAAAGTATTGCCTATTGTAGGGATTTTTCTAGCTTCTTTTGGAACTGGCCTCTTTATGAAAAAATTTGTGGGCTCTCACAGTGCCAAATTTAAGAATACTTATATCACTAAACAGTTCATTGCATTTGATGAGCACCAAAAGCAACAGCAAAGACCCTGCCTCCTGCCACTTAACAGAAAAGAAAGAAAAGATTATGTGACAATCCCATCTTTCTGCCTCACAAGGAAGGACAGAAAAAACATGCAGGGTTTTTTTCTCCCTGTAATTATTCATCTTTGCATCTGGCTTCTGTTTGCTGCAGTAGATTATTTGTTTTATTGGTTAATTATTTCTGTGAATAAACATCTCCAAGAAGTACCGGATCTAGAGATTCAACTCAGTGTCTTTCAGCAAGTAAGTACTTATCAGTACTTTATATTTCTTAGTTTAGTGTTGAAAAATTTCCCTTCATCTTCAGCAGCTGCAGGAGCAGACGTACAGCCAATGAGCCATCAGTTCTTTCATGGCATTGTCATTCATTTTCTTTCAAAAAGGGCCATTGCCTTAATAGATATGTATGCTGGATGGAACCAGACAGTACCCTGCACTTTCCAAAGTGCCATCATATTTCTAGAGAATAGTAAATACAGGAAGAAGGACTTTCATTCCTTCATGTATATGTGTGAAGAACAGAAGCTTAAAATTGGAAACTCACAGTGCTGACAGTTGTGAAGCACCACTTTTATAGTCAAAATGCCACTGTGACCCTGACATAAAAGAGACTTACCTTTCTTTAGCTGAGTATGTGAAAGCTCATCATTTAAAAAAATATGGCTGCGTACACATGAAATAATAACACATTGCCAAAATCTCAAGGTTCATCTAGCAGGAGCAGCAGTGCCGAACAGTGGTGTACAGAACCATAGAGTAATTAGGTTGGAAGGCACATCTTGAAGCCACCTAGACCAACTTCATGCTCAAAACAGGGCCAACTTCAGAGTCAGATCAGATTGCTCAGAGTCTTTTCTGTGAATACTTCTAAGGCTGGAGATTTCACAGGCCCAGGAAAGCGGTCCAATTTGATAGCATGCAAGATCAGGCTTAAAACGCTTCCCAAAAGCATATAACCCTTTGATACTTTCAAGATAAAAAGATTTCAGAGGGATACTTGACTGGATGGATGGCTGGGCCTTTACACCTCATATAAACCGTGCTGCACCACATCTGGCATCACCAAACCAGAATCCAAAATGGTCCTGGTCCCCTGGGATATGGTCCTTCACAGTTCAGGAGAGTTGGTTGATATTCAAAACTTACCTCCTCAAAGCTGAAGAATGGTTATTGCAGCTAAATCAAGCAAAGGCAGCAGGAGGCCACCATAGATGAGCAAGGAGCTCCTGACAAAACTCAAAAGTAAAAAAGAACCATAAAGGAGGTGGGAGCAGGGACAGCGGGCCCAGGAGGAATATAGGGACACTGTCTGATTGTATAGGGATGGGGTCAGGAAAGACAAAGCCCACCTGGAGCTGAATCAGGTGAGGCAGGCCAAGGGCAGCACAAAGGGCTTCTCCAGGTCTATCAGCAGCAAAAGAAAGAGATAAGGAAATGTGGGCCCACTGCTAAGGGCAGCAGTAGGGGTCCTGGTGACAACAGACATGCAAAAGCCCAAAGTTCTCAATGTCACCTTCAGCTCTGCCTTTACTAGGAAGATCACACTTCAAGAATCCCAAACCTCTGAGACCAGAGGGCAAGTCTGGAACAAGGAAGACTTACCATTGGTGGAGGAGGATCAGGTCAGGGAACATTTAAACAAAGTCCATGAGACCTGATGGGACTGAGTGGAAGGAAGCAAATGTTACTCCCATCTTGAAGGAGGGCAAGGAGGAGGATCCAGGGAACTACAGTCTGGTCAGCCTCTCCTTGATTCCTGTAAAGGTGATGGAAAATATCATCATGGAAGCCATTTCCAAATATGTGAAGGCCAAGAAGGCTATTAGGAGCATTCAGCGTGGATTTACAAAGGCTAAATCATACTTGACCAACCTGACAGCCTTCTATGATACAATCGCTGTATTGTTGGATTAAGGGAGAACAGCAGATGCTGATTGTGTGCTTATTAAGGCTTCCAACGCTGTCTTCCACAACATTCTCATTGACAAACTGATGAAGCATGGGCTAGATAAATGGAGAGTGACATCAACCGAAAACTAGCTGAACTGCTATACCCCAAAGGTTCTGATTAGTGGCACAAAGTCACTTTTGATCTCCCCCAGGAGTAGACACTGGAACCTCTACTGCTTAACCTCTTCATTAATAACCTGATAGAGGAACAGATTGTAGCCACACAAGTGTGCACATGGGAAGAGTGGCTGAAACACCAGGGGACTGTGCTGCTATTCAGAGGGACTTGAAAAGGCTAGAGAATTGGGCTGACAGGAACCTTACCATGTTCAGCAAAGGAAAATTCCTTGTCTTGTAGTCCTTGGGGAGGAATAACCCCATGCACTATCCATGTTGGGGGCAAACCAGCTGGGAGGTGGCTTTGCAGAAAAAGGCCCTGGGAGTTCCGATGGACATCAAGTTGACCACAAGCCTGCAATGTGCCCTGATGGCAAAGAAAGGGCTACCCAAGGCTGCATTAGGCAGTGTTTCCAACAGACTGAGGTGGGTGATCCTTCCCCTCTGTTCAGCACTGGTGAGACCCACCTGGAGCACTATGCCCAGTGCTGGGCTCCCCAGTACAAGAGATATATGCATAGACTGGATTGAGGTGAGTAATGGGTCAAGAAGATGACTAAAGGACTGGAGCATTTGTTGTACAAGGAGGGGCTGAGAGACCTGGGGCTGTTCAGGCTGGAGAGGAGAAAGCTCAGGAGGATCTCATCAGTGTGTGTAAATACTTGATGGGGCGTGTGGGCATAAGAAAGAGAAGCCAGACTCTTCTTGGTGGTGCCCAGTGCAGGGACAAGAGGCAGTGGGCATAAATTAAAGCAAATGCCCTATCAACATGAGAATTCATTTTTTTTAACTCTTCAGGTGATCAAACACTAGAACAGGTTTTTGAGACAAGTCATGGAGTCTCTATCCCTGGAGATATTAAAAGCCCAACTGAACACAGCCTTAAGCAACCTCCTGTGGCCTCAGCTATTTTCTGTGTACTGCTGCATGTGGTTTTGCCTGTGTTTTTATCCTTCATACCTTGAGGACAGCTCCTTATCATGACCTGCTTTGGTCCCACCACCCATGGACAGAGGGCCTGATCCTGATCCTGACCCTGTTTGGCTGATTCACGAGTCCTCTACTATGAATTTGCTCTCTTTATGTGCAGTGTTCACTGCTGTGGAGAGCTGGTTTACTCTCCCAAAACAGAAAATTATGCTGTCATCAGATTGTTTCTAGTACCTCATTGAAGGCTAGTCACATTAAAAAAGTAAAATTTAATCTCAACAGATTTGTCATAATAAGCCTCAGGGCTGCTGATCTCAGGGAGTCTAGAAAGCTGGCTGAGTGAGCAGAACGGACTCAGCAACTTCTTGAGATGTTTATTCTTGGTATGAGCAGTAAAGTTCTTCATGCACTTGTACCCCCGTTTCATATTGAGTTCTAATGCAGTTTTTCCTTGCTTATACATTGGTTCAGTTTAGGGATAAAATGTCCTAAGACAGATTGGAGCAGGATAATATCAAGGAAAGGCTACCAGGCTGAAAATGGGTAGCATGCTTTGAGCACCTGATTTTTCCAAAGAGCACCTGACAGAAGTGCCTGGGTGCTGTAAGGTGGTTGGAAGAGCCACAAGGAAGAGCTACATATCCCCCTGACACAGTCAGAAAAGAGGGCTGTGTGACTCAGTGCCCCTACAGTGTTCCTACACGCAGAGCAGAATGTTGCCTACCACTGTGAAACACTGATCCAAGCGTTTAGTCCCTCTCACACAGCATTTCAATCCACAAGCATTGCAATACATCAGGTCTCCTAAGCAAGGCACCTGTTAGAGGAGGAAGGGTGGCTTTGTTAGTGTGGTAACCCTGTGGTCAGAGCACCTGCATAGTGGGGTGTGGAAGCACTGCTGATCAAGGACTGAGCCCCAACCCAAAGGACGGACACACTGCTGTGTGTGTGTCTGCTGTTTTACCCTGAAGGAAGGACCCTCCAACAGAGGATCTGAGATGATTCATGAGACTGGGAATATATTAAACCATTACAGCCAAATTAGCTAAGTATTTGTCTGTTAGAGCCACTGAGAAGGTAAGTTCTTAGCAGTGTGAATTGTGGGACAGTCTCCTGAGAGAAATGATGAAAATGCAGTCTGAATGATTTATAAATAGCTAATAAATATTTTGTTATGAGCATAGCATATATAGACAGTGAATGGACTTGATGATTCATGGTCCTTTGTAAATCTGAATATCCAATGGGAGAAATACTAAGAAAAGAGGGAACCAGTACTATAATCAACTCTTTTTTCCCCCTTTTCTTGTGCAGAGGAATGACAACAGCTTTATAAGTGGTACAAGACAGCATATTGCAAAGACTGATCCTTTCAAGATATCTTTGTTTAAACGCAACTGCATCCCTCAGCCAGAGCTCGCTCTCTCCACAACATGGATCCAGCTTGGAGTCATCATCTTCTTCCTAATAATTGTTGGGTTATTCTCTGGCCTCCTCACCCAACTTAAAATACTCGTGTCAACTTCATTTTATCCTGACACTGAGATGAAACGGATACATTATCTGCATACGAAATTACTCAAGAAAAGAGCAAAACTACAAGAGAAAACTGGGAAGCACGTGTTTGCTAGAACGGTAAGCCAGCAGCTCTACGAGAAAAAAAAAATCTCCCTCTCTCAGGGTAGTAGCCAGACCCAGGAAATACTTAAAAACTTGTTAATTTCAATTATGTGCTAATAGACTTTCCCCAGTGCTCTCCTGGGCAGGGGCCAGGGATGAGTTGCCTATTGGTGAGATTAGATCATATAATTGTTTTGTTCTGTCCTTCCACACACATGCATCAGACATGACAAGGGTACACCCAGATGACTATGTACTGGCAAGAAAATACTCCTCAGGCTTAGAGCATTCCAGAGAAGAAACCTGTCTTTCCGGTGTGTACGAAAAGTACCTCCAGTACAAAGGGTATTCCTGCAACTTGGACAGTGCATGTTAGGCATTTGTGAGCAGCCTCTGAATGTTTAGAAAGATGTTCAGTTGCTGCTTAGCAAAACGGACGGTGATATATTTCTGTTTTAAAACACAGCGGGAGTGCAACTGCAACTACCATTAGGAAAAAGAACTTTTTCTTTGCAAAAACATTTACCCTGTGTATATATGTATATATGCACTAATGGACATACAAACACGCACCCATATATTTATGGCAAATCCAGATAGATAGCTGAAGACACATATCGTTTGTTTTGGTTTGAGTTTTTTAATAGCCTTCAATACTGATTATGCAGGGTGTTAGTGTCTGGGCGATGTCTAACTCAGTAATACTATTATCGCAGCATCATATTTCTGTCTTTTCAGGTTAACTTTTGGTTTCCAATACTCAAGGCAAGAGAGGCAGTGAGGAAGAAAGAAAGGACCGTGGCAAATGACAACACAGTGTGAAAGAGACCAAGCGAATTTTTGGATAAGGCTGAGATGCTCTAGCTCCACAGGGACATGTGTTTTGCATCCATCTTTCCTATGAAGTTTCAATTTTAAAATGTAAAAATAAGATCAAAGGCTAATCAGCAGTATTTTGGAAACATGGAAAAGAAGCCATGGGAGATAGTGTGCTCCCCACTGCAGAGAGCTCTGGGTTGCATTAATACTCATTTTTTTCAGCTTGGGTTCTGCATTGTCTGGTATTCTACAAAGCCATGGAGGGCCTGATTTTACACACGATTGTGTAATAGCAATCAAACAGCTTGGAGCTTTTAGGATTGCAGCACAAACCTCTTTGGGTTGAGCTAACAGAGGACATAATGGCAGCAGCAGGTTTGTGTTCTTCACAGTTGCTAGACACTGAAGAGAGAAGACACAGCAGAGACTGTCAATTGGCTTCTGCGCTGGCCAAGAACCTAAGTAGACAGCTTAGATGTTTCTAGACATTTCTATCTATTTCTCAAGCTTCAACTGCCCCAAACCCTTCAGCCTGGTTCTTTCCCATCCCTAGCTTCATACACCTGCTCCTGCCTCTGCAGCTGTCTCTTCTGCAGGACCAGTGCTCTATACGCCCTGTCAGTCTTGTAGCCCAGCCGAACTCTCCCTCCTACCTCCTCCTCCCACTTACTTTTGCTGATTTGCCTCTCAGAAGTTTCTAATCCTCATGTCCCACCTGGAATTCTTCACTTGGTCTTAGTCTCTCACTTTCACATGTCCATAGACTATATCGCTAGTGCAGATTGTCCCATATCTTCTCGATGATAAGAGAGGTAAGGTAGAGGTCAGAATGTTCATGAGAGCTGGCATACAGAGGAATCAGGTGCTGTGGGTGCAAACAAGTTGGTTTTGAGGTGTAGGGACATATGAGCAGAGGTGAACAATGCTTTGAATCTTGCAGTGAGACAGCTTGCAGAAGTGGCAAAAACGGGCTTAATTATGTTGCTAAAACCACCATTAAATTAAATGAAAAAACCTGAGCCAATACTGAGTGCTTCACGTCTTCAACTGACATCGGTGGTGTGACCATCATATGACACAAGCACAGGTGATAAGAACAGAAAGATATAGGAATGGCTTGACTGATGCGGAACTAGAGATTTAATGTAGAGCTAAAAATCCACCCAACATACAGTGTACTCTTGATTTTCAGTCACAGCCAACTTCTTTCTTTAGGTTTCATAAGAATAACAAACTCTACTCTGTTCCTCTATAACATGTGCATCATCCCAGGACAGCCATTGATTGATGTCTCTGTTATCTGAACGAATAAAGACTTCTTTAAAGCTTTTCAGTAGCAAGCGTCAGATGTTATTTTCCACCTGAAACACTGGAAAACACAAAGCCTTTTTTATTTTGGGTCTTCCAAACGAAGCCTCACTCCTCCATGGACACAGGTGGTTCAGGCTGCCAGTGTGCCAGCAATTTGCCTCTAGAAAACTGGGTACTAGCTTGATGCCATGCATTACTGAGGGTTGTGCCGAATGTCTCTGATTGGCCTGGCTATGTCCTCTTTTGCCTAACGTGGGACAGCCTTGGATAGTAGCAGAACATAATTCACATCCCAGTTACTACTGTCAAGGACCAGTAGTAAAAACCATTCTGGTGAAAAAGGTGCAAAATGAGGGGTGCTCTAAATTTGTTTTCACAAAACAAACTAGATGTCCAGGTACTACTGATAAGAGGGTATATTCCTTCACTCTTGTTATCACTACAGATGAAAGAGGAAAAGGAGTTAAATGTCAGCAAGAGCTGAGCATTTTTGGCTAAGTCCTGAGAAGTTCATTGCTGGTAGCAGTTGGATGTGCTCCTTTCAGTCCCAAAGGACAAGGTGGCGAGAAGCCCTGATATCCTACTGATTACAATGCCCAAAGGCAGAGGCAGGTTTGATTGACAGCACTACCATAAAACACTACCTGCTTCACTTGGCATCAGGGGACAAAATTTGTCTTGGAGTTTCTTGCCTTTCCTGTCTGATGGTGTGTAGCCACCCAGCAAACCTTTTCTCTCTGTTGTTCTGCAAACAGCAAGTGAAAGCTTTGCCACACACGGGAATGGTTCATCAAAATGACTCAGATGGGGGTTAATGGTTGGTATAGATACCTAAATGTTTTAGGATTTTGAGTTTGGGAGTTTACTCTCAGGACAATATCATGTCTGTACTTTGTATTTACTTAGGGAAATTAAGCCTAGTGGGAATGACTTATTATGAAAAAGAGCCATGAGTACTTGGTAGGATAGGTGAGACCTTGCAGGGTTTACAGAACAGTATTGCACCTGAATGCCGGGACTCCCACCGGTAAATGGCAGGTGAACCTACTGAGTATTGTGCAGCTTGCTCCCTCAAATTGGTGAGAGTCATGGCAGTGATAAAAGGGAATCCTTCTTGGGAAGCTAATTGTAATTCTGTACAAAATGTTCAGCTCTGGTAAACATTTTACCTAGATGCTTGACCCTACTCCCAGTGACAAAGGACACAGAAAAGCCCAAGGTATATCTTTGTCTTGATCTTTACAGGTAAGACTGACCTTCAGCCATACCAGGCCCTTCAGTCCAAAGGGAAAGTCTGGAGCAAAGAAGACTTACCCCTGTGAAGGGTGACATGGTTAGAGAGCACTGGACAGACTTAAACGAAAAACACACTGGACATACTTAAGCCCATAGGACATGATGGGAGGCACCCATGGGTGCTGAGGGTGTTGTCTGGTGTCATTGTGAGGTGACTCTTTATTATCTTCGAAAGGTCATGGTGATCAAGCAACGTTCCTGAGCACTGGAAGAAAGAGGATGTCATTCCCACCTTCAAGAATGGCAAGAAGGGGGATCTGTGAAACCACAGGTTTGTCAGCCTCACCTCAGTCTGTGGGAAGATGATGGAGCAATTTCCCCTGGAAGCCATTTTTAAACATAAAGGCCGCGGACCTGACTGGGATATCACCTAAACATGAGAAAAACTTTTTTCTGTGAGGGTGGTTAAATACCTGGAACAGGATGCCCAGAGAGGTTATGGAGTCTTCATCCTTGGAGATGCTAAAAACCCAATTAGTGATGGCTCTGAGCAACACAGAGCAGTGGGGTTGGAGTAGATATCTCCAACCTGCCTGGTGCCTGCCAACCTCAGCTGCTCTGTGGTGACTTTTACAGAAAGCATTGCAGACAACATATGCATGCACAAAAAACCCTTGTGTTAATTTGTGAATGTTCTGTGCCAAAACCAGGGTGCCACCTCACAAATATTGTTGCCGTTACACTCATGCTGGAGTCACGCACTTGCATGGAATAATGTGTTGTTTGCTTCTGTGACTGTACACATGCATGAGCTGGACGGCAAGCAAAGGGGTAAGTTTGCTCTTTCCCATCTCCCTAAACCTGGGGTACCAGAGACAATGGCACATTCTGCACATTTTCTTTTTTAAATTCTAAAACAAATTGACCTTTACTGCCTCAAAGACATCGAGGTTTTATCTAAGCAGTAGAACCGTTCTTACCCCGATCTACAGTATTAGGTGTATTCCTTCAGCTGCCCTGTGATTGAGAAGAGAGTAGAAGAAATACCCAGTAAACTCAGGTCCTCTTTGGTTGTACAGATGAAAACGCAAGTCCATCTCTCCGCTGGCAGTACACAGAGACATACCTCTCACTCTCTGCAGACCTTACTTGGTTTCTGTTTTCTCCCATTTGTTTTTGTCCTCTGAGCCGGAGAAGTCTAGGGGTTTGTTTATCTTCAGCTGTCTCCTCTTCAAGTTGTTCAGCTATTCCCTTTGGCCTCTCTGTTTACCATAACCCTCAACCACATGATTACATTGTTCTTTTTTTCTCTTTTATTTTTTTTTTAATAAAAAACCCTCTACAAGCTACAATAAAAACCCAGTATTCCATCCACAATTATTTCTGCTTCTCTTCTTGCCTACCCTTTTGTCACATTTCTATGTTTTATTTTGGTTCTTTTCCCCTGTCTTTGTCATTCCAAGTCTTCTTTCCTCTTTTGGTATGTTTTCTTCTGCTCCGATAGATCATTCTTCCCCATACATAAAAGCATGTATTTTTTCTTTCTGCTGAGCACAAGTGAACTACAGGCACAGTTGAAAATAAGGGTTTTCTTTATTCACTTATTGGGATAATGGAGATTTTTAATATCTTTCATGTTACTGGGCATTGTCTCTAACTGCCTCTCTAGGGCTTGTCAGAAATGTATTCATATACCACCAGCGCTCAGAACAAGAGTCTGAGGAGAAGTCTGGATTTGGCTTTTGACTCATTCATCCCTTTCCTTCCCCCAGCTCACCACAGAGCTCAACTTCCCTTTTTAGACGTCCTTCACTAGTGTAGAAGCTGTTTGATTTACTGTGAAAAATCCCCCAATTGGATCAAATCTGGTTTGCAAAATTAATGAAAGGCTGACCTGATTGTCTTGTGAAGCTAATTCAGAGAGACATGCTAGTGCTTCTGACCCTCCTGAAGCACAATACAAACGAGGCAGCTCCCTTTCAACAGCTGTGTTTATGGAACTCTCCTCACCACCACCCTGTACCCCCGAATGTGGCTTTCTTCATAGCTAAACTTTTTTTAGCTAAAGCCTTTTTTTCCTCTGTGCTAGTTTTCTTGCAGCGTTTCATGTGGGCAGCTGGGTGTGCAAAGCCAGAGGATGCTGGGTTTACAACTGCTTTCACCTTAATGCCTGCTCTGTTAATGTTGTCTCACCAGCTCACTTTGTTTTCATCACAGTTTAAATAGCCCAGAGATGCTTGCAATTAAAGAAGATATGAACAGGCAAAACCTTCACTCTAGTTCTGTTTTACATCGCAAAAGTGGAAAGTAAGGATCACTCTGCTGACAATGGAATAAAGCCTGAAAATGGGGGTGTTACTGTTGCCTTTATGGGCACAGACTTCAAAATATGTGGACATGCTTCATGGGTGCTGCTGTACATGAGAGTAACTTCCTTCTCATCTCATTCCTGATAT